AGAAAAAATTTTAACATATTAAATTTTTTTATTTAATATTTTAATACAATTTTTATAAAATATAAATTGAGAGGAAGAAAAGTAGAAAGACTCGCATCCACTTACCCGGATCTCCCCATCCCTCAGAAACACAGTTTCTAATTTTTTTTTTTTTTTTGGCTTCTCCTTCGTATGCAAGCAAACACTTTCTCATATTTCTTAGACGCCCACCCTATTATCATATAACAAACTACATCATATTTGAAATATCATGGTATGCAAGATAATAGAATTAAAATCATGATATTCTATAAACTCCTTTAAATAGTGTATACATGACGTTTACTTTTGAAGAAAGTATATTGATACATATCATATAATTGACAAGTTACTGTTATTTATTCTTCCAATTTGATTTTCCCAGCTAGAAAGCAGCCACCTTTTATTCATACATTGATATTGATTTTTTGTTGTTTGTAACATGCAGATATTTTCATTTCGATTAACAGACAGAGGCGCACGCGTCCACCTCCACGAAAGGCAAGAGCTGGTAAATGGATGGACTCGACTGATATAAACTTCGGCCCGAAAATCCAATTACCTAAAAATTCATCAATTCTTTGTACCTGGCCTTTATTGATTAGCTTCAAGATCGGGTCCAAAATTCTTTTTTTATTTATTTTTATTTTTATTTTTTTGGACTTTTAATTTTTTTTTAACATTAAAACATTACATATTCATTCTCTAAAATATAAATTATAATATTTAAAAATTAAAAAAAGTAATGTAAATCTTAATTTTAAAGTACAAACACAGTCTAAAGTCTCAATTTAATCTAAAAAATTAAAAATTTCATTTTTAAAGGGAAAAAAAAAAAAAAACAAGATTAAACAAATAGATTGAGCCTTTTTTAAAGGCTTAAACGGGCTAGTTTTAAAAGCCTTTTTATATGAAAATGCCTCAATTTTTAAAACTCAAATCCTAAGAATGCATGCTTAAATGGGTAGCTTGATTCCAGCTCAAATGCCCACCTTTTTTTTTTTTTGTTTCCCCCTATTTTTATAGCAACTTCCCTATATATATGTTTACATGTATCTCTATGCATGGTTACCAGTAGGATAAGATACATAAAAGCAAGCGCGAGCAAAAGATAAAAATGCACTTCTAGCTTATAGAATAAGTATTGGCACAAAAAAAAAAAGCTAATGGAATAAAAAAAAAAGATAAGTAAAGAATAAGTCTGACTGTGATACTCCTGTCGTTTTAAATCCAAGGAAAAATACAATACAATGTTCTTTAAAAAAAAATTACACGTCTAGCTTACCGTTTAATAAATCAGTGATGGCAATTAACTAATAACACTAAAAGTATAAATTCCATTGATCAATAACTTCAATTATTTAAAAGAGAGGTTAATATTGGGCAGCCAAGGAGAATTTTGCATAATCTATCCAAAGATTCAAGTCTTGTTTGGTTGATAAAAAAAAAATGAAATGAATTAAAAAAAAATAAAGGTAAAAATAAAATCATCAAAATGTGAAAGGAATAAATGAATCATATTCATTAAAGAAAAGGATGATCCAGTTCATAAGATTAAAAGTCATGATTTATAAAATTTTAAGTAGTATAATTTTTTTACATTTGTAATAAATAATACTCCCTTCCTCTCAAATTATAGGACATTTTTGAAAAAAAAAATTTCATCTTAAAATTTAAAACACTTTTAGTAGATTAAAATTTTATTAAATGCACTAATTTCAAAATTACCCTTTCTCTCTCTATAATTAATTTTCATCACTTCTCTTTTCAATATATTAAATGATGGGTATTTTGAAAAGTTTATATTTTTATTTAAAAAAATAAGATTGTTAAATGTATTTAATAAAGTTTATTGATACGTAAAATTTTATCTAAAAGTGCCTTATAATTTAAAACGAAGAAAGTATTAAGTTTTATCATGAGTGATGAATGATTTAATTTATTTTTATTTTGATTCTCTTAATCAATTCCATTCCCATCATTTTTAGCAAACAAAATGCGATCTTTGATTTTAAACTTACGCCCTCATTTGCTTCAAAAACCAGGACTTACTCTGCATTTCAAGGCTTTCCCACCTATAGAATTTACAATTATGAAGACGAGGATAGTTGTTGGCAACCAAAAAAAAAAAAAAAGGAATGAAAGTCATCTCGTGTAATTATAGCCTTAGGTACAAGCATCGTGCTATATTGACCACTTTTACGCAAGAATCCAATGAATAGGCGGACTTCTGCCTACTCCCCATTAAGATAAGGAAACATTAACACGAGTCTAAAATCTAAATTCAGAGCGAGTTAAATCAAGATCTTTTTGGGTGGAACTCTACTACTAACATCGTTGTAACTACTTCGAATCTCAATTAGCTCATGGATTGTTATAATAGGAAGCTATCTGTCAAAGCCACCTTATAGGAAATGCCTTTATATGAGTTCTTTAATGGGCTCTGAGGCAATGCTCATCTAGTCATCATATATGCTTCATACAAACTATATCTAGTCATCATATGTACTTCATAAAAACTGTAGTTCCTGTATTCCAGTAAGCAGTGACCCATACAAGCTCGGTATCAAGCCAAGGAAACATGACAAGAAGTTAAAGATTCCGTTCAATGATAGGTATTATTGACAGTGTGAGAATCTTACTTCACACCACCCATTGGTGGACCCCCAGCATCAACATATGTCTTGTTCTATTGACCTCGCCACGTGCGTTGGTCAGCTCGTATGATGAGATATATAACCCTTTATTCTTTAGCTGCATATCCAACAAAAGTAAAGCAGGGAAAAGCAGAGAGAGAGAGAAGAGGAGAGAGAGAGAGAGAGGTTTTTGCAACGCCATTTCCAATTTGTTTTCTTTGTGCAGATGCTCCATCACATCTCTTGATTTGAAAAGGAACTAATTCTGTGGGTGCGTCGAAGACTACTGACAGAGAATATACATGAAATGTACATTTCATTATAGCCAATAATATTCTTTCTTCAGTCATAGTATCTAATGATGAAAGCATGCCACCTCCTAAGCCCGGCACCGTAGAATCCCACGTCAGATATTTGCTTTCAGTATCTCAATGAATGCTTACTCGAAAGAAACAGGTGTCTAAGTTTCTATTTCTACGGTTTCAGCAAGAAATCATAACGTAGTTGCACCATAATTCAAAACAGAGGAAGGAAAAGGGAAAAGGGAAAGGAGAAAAAAGAGTTCGGTAAAATAACAAGTAATATGAGATTTTCCATGAATTGACATGTCAATGACTTAATCATAGTACTATCAACTGCCCTGGGGAGTTGATGCGTTTAACAATTATTTTTCTGACAGTTCTTGCCTCGCTAACATTGAAGAACAAGAGGTAAGGAAAAATGTTTGATTGGGGATTGGGGGCAGTAAGATATTCAATAAGATCCACAAAGATGATTACTAATGAGGAACCAATTAATAAGCTTAAGAGTTGAAGATACATAACACAGCTGATGTACCCCCAATGCTCAATTAGCAGACTTAAATGATGAGGGAGCTGAGTGGCTTGGTAAGATATAACAGCAAGATAACTTATTTTTCACGAACTAATTATAAGTACAAATAATGATGGAAAAGTTCATAAAATATGAAGGTGACAACTAAATTCATCGCGAACACGGGATATGAAAAATAACCTGTCTAGTATTTAGTGCTTTGCATCAGGAACTTATGGGACTTGGACATCGAATAGTGTGGGACCACGATGAATCATCCAAAAGTTAGCTTTAAGTTGCTGTCGCACTCATCTTTGCAAGAATGACAATCAAGTCTTAAAATATCAATTTACCAATAATTAGGCTCTTACTCATCGTTGAGGCTCGTGAATTTGTAACTGCTTAAATTTTTATTTTCAATTAAGTTCACAGAAAATTTTGTTAGTAACCTAATTATAATTAAATTAGTATTCTGAGACCTAATTGTCATTCTCTCTCTTCATCTTTTAAATTATTCGCCCAAGCATGACTATGACTGTTTTCTCAAGAATCCCATTGCCTGGTAAACGTTCTGGAGAGTAGCATCTGCTATCTCAGAAGCTTTTCTAGCACCTTCAACCAAGACTTCATCTAAATAACCAGAATCAGACATGATTTCCTCGTAGCGAACCTGCCAAAGTTTTTTTTTTTTTTTTGGTAACAAAAAGTTTGATGATGACAAACGGACTTCGACAACAATACAGAATTATATTCAAAATACAGGGCTACTGTAAAAATGAATTAAGCACAGCTAAAGGACAGCAGATGACCTAACAGACACTCTTCAAAGCAAAAGGCAGTAGTAAAGCGAGAATTATGAGCATATTCAGCAAAATGCTGAGAACTGAGAAGCAACTAACCACAAACTCATGCATGTATTCAAATTTGAGGCATCAAGATCAAGAAGAACAAAGCATATATCAATGTCTACGAATTGACAACTCAAGTACAGCAGCATGTGTCTATGAATTGACAATTCAAATTTGAAGGCCCAGCCAAGATCAGGTTATACCATTGACTGTATTGCAGTCCACAAACATTCGGCAGCATGATGAAAAACAGGAAACCACCAGCATACCCATGCATGTGTGCAAATTCGATACAGTATGATTAAATCTTAAAAACAAATATCAAAGTTAAGAAAATTGACAACTAAAGTACAGCAGCAAGCAACATTTCAAGAACCAAACGAGTCCAAACTGTAGGATTGACTGTATCACAGCCTGGCCCCCTTCTGGGCTGATCACCTATCCACCTGATGGAGAATTGAAGACTTATACTATGGAAAAAAAAAGGTTTAGAATTTAATGAAGTTTACTTTTTCCTCAGCAATTATATTTATTTAAAAGTTAGTTTTCTTTTAATTTATTTTGAATTAGGCTTTATCTTATCTTTAGCTTTTGATTAGTTTAAATAATAATCAAGTTTAAATCAATATTATTTTATTATTTGTATCTAAGGCTCTATAAATAGCTCTAGGATTTTCTCATTTGGGAGACCCTTTTTACTATTAGATAATTTTGACATTATTTTGCTGTCATGCTCTCCCCAAACTTCTCTATTTCCCTCTCCCTTCTTCTCTCATTACCCCCCCTTCTTCCCCTCTTTCCGTTGCTTTAGATCAATTTGGCATCAAAACAAGGTTACTCACATTCCTTTCATATAGACTTGGCATGACAACTGAAGCACGTCACTAGACCATATAAACTTGTTTGACCCCTTTTAGGGCTGGTCACTGATCTACCCGTTTTAAGGACAGGGTGTGTTCAGATCACATAGACATGTCTGACCAATTTGAGTTGTCCAACCAGGCACCAGCGACATAAAACATTAAACATCTTTGAAAAAATAAGGTCACATTTGATTACTAAAAGAAATAAAATGGATTGAAAAATAAAAGTAAAAATGAGATGATCAAAAAGAATAGTGAACCACATTCATAAAGGAAGAAGATGATTTAGTTCATGGGGATATGAATCATGATTCATGAAATTTTTGGAGAGTGATAATTTCCACGTTTATATTATATATTGATGAGTTTTATCGTACTTACCATGAGGAGAAAAGATGATTTAGTTAATTTTTATGTTGATTTTTTCAATTCAATTCATTTCATTTCTTTCTAATAACCAAACATGACCTAAAAGTAAGGTCAGGAGGTGGAATCTAATAGTTAGGAAAGAAATTTAACCTTGGATGGTTAGAAGCCACCATTAAAACAGTTAGTTTAAAGACTCAAGTGATCTAGAATCTTCACATGCACTCATGTGCTGTCAATTCCCTTTTTTGATATTGAATTTTCCAAAAAATACCATCAACAGTCATACTACATGTTCCCATGAAGTGTTCGAATAAAAATGAGAAAAGGAAAGTTAATTTACTCGTATCTAAAACTACCCACTTTTGGTTTATTTTGTATCTGAATCCAAATCCTATTTGCATATGTAGACATCAAGTTGATGCCACAGTAATACTTCAGTGCCACTCAAAATATCTAGCTGAGAGATTATCACCACGTATTTGCCACTTAATCTCAATAGGGCGGATGGGAGTCGAAAATCCATGCATAATAGCCTTCCATCTCAACACAGCGTATGCAAAGTGCCAACACAAGGGATGACAGAGTAAAACTAACATATTTATCAACAACCTCCTAAAAGCAGTTAAAAGCACATGAATAAGCATATTTCAAAAAAAAAAAAAAGGAAGAAATGAAAAATATAATTAGAAAAAACTCGTAAGATGTTATGTGGATTCCCAATTACCAAAACTAACATAAGAATGACGGACTTCTCCTTACAACGCTGTGTGAAGGTGTCAACAAATATTCGGTAACCAAACAAAAAAACATCAGTGATTTTAGTTTTGAGGATTAAAGTTATCAGGCAGTTCCATGAAACAAAAAGATAAGGATAAGAATTTAAAACGGTAGCGATTTTAAAATTTATATTCATCAATAATCATTGCTGGGAGATAGAATTTTGGCGACAAAGAAAAGTCAACCTGAATGGGATGCAGATGATCGATCAGGGCATCTGTTAAAAGGGCTTTGAATGTGCCCCAGTTCATATTTTGGCATTCTTGCAGAACTTCCTGCATAAAAAAATAATTACCACAAAAATAACCCAGATTGTTTGAAAGCCATTAATTATGGTATGATGGGAAAAATTACAGAGCAACAAAAAAATCTAAAATAAAGTCCTGTAAACACCTGACCATTAGTAACCATAGTAGAAAGAAACTTTTTCCCCTTAATCAAAGAAGTAATTTCATCAAGGAAGAGAAAACAAAGGAGAACGAACTACCATGCAAGCGCAATACTAGAACCAGAACAAAAAGAAATAAAAAATAGCAACTTATACATTCAGCAAAACTGCCAATCCCTCCGGAAAAAAATTGAGTCAAACACCAAAGAGAAACTATTAGAAGATTAGCTCAAGAATTCTTTTAATTTGACACCAATATGGAGATGTCTAAACAATCTTCAAGTGTATATACTATAAGATGTCCTACATTTCTCGTTAAGATATCATGGTCCAAATACACTCTTTTAATAGCTTTGATTTGTTCTTGTTAATTTATATTCTTTCTAAAGAGCTGGTAGCAAGGAACCAACAAGGGTTAGGTCTAACAAAAAAGCTAGTCTCTCATAAAATGGCGAAACAAGATTCGAATCCCCACTGGAAGAGGTGCCCACATTTAGAATCCAATTGTGTCTCGAAAAGGATTGCCTCCAATAAGAAGATATCTGTAAGAAATAAAATAAAAAGCTAGTAGCAAGGAACTAATAATTTAATCCCTTCAAAATAAGTTTTCCATTGTTTTCCCCAGAAGATGATTTGCTTCCTGGCTGTCTTGGATCTCTTTTGCCTTCATTTCCTTTCTTTCTTTTTCTCCACTTTTACACTAGAATAAAACAGGACAGTATTTTAACCCAAAAAAAAGAGAGAGAGACAGAATCTAAGCATCAATTATAAAGGCTGCTCATTTAGATAATAGCATATGTGATACTCACTGATAAAATATCATCAAGATAATAATTAATGAAGCCACAAGCCAAAATTGTACAAGGCTGGCCAATGGACGTTTGAACAAACTAAGCCAGCCCCAGCATCATTAATAAAGAGTTTAACAACTAAACAAGCATGATGCAAAAATAAATTTTAAAATAAGATGTTCCTTACCTCTTTTGTCTTGTCAGTAATGAGCTGGTATATGGAAAGAAGATTGTTACATTCAGGCCTTTCTGGATTGTCAAATTCTAAGCTGTAAGGTTCACCACAAAGTCCAAAAACAGTCACTTTAGAAATAGCCGACAGTGGACTAACAAAGATTAATAAAAAGGGGAGGGGGTGAAGACATTTTAGGGACATAACCTTCAAGTACTAAGATCATCATATCATGATATTGCAAGTAAAACAATGAAAAATACTCACCCAGTGAATGCGTCAGTTTTGCAACGTTTTAACTTGTTTGCTATCAGCTACAAAACAAAACAAAACAAGCTCAGAACAAGTGGGATGAGAGGAAAATCAACAGCTAAATTATGTAGGATAATAGCCAGGATAAACTTCAACATAGGCAATAATAAAAGCATTGCAGAACTGAAAATGTTTGTAATGATGCCTGATTCTATTATGTTAATCAGTAGAGCAAAAACAATTCAAAAGGAGCCCATGTCTGCGTCGGACACTCATATTTGACAACACTAGCACACAACACTTCAAATAACATCAAGACACTTCAAACTTTTTCATATTCTTGCTTTTGTCTCAATATTCATGATTAATTACAAACTTAAGTTATGGATGAAGACTTTAAAGTAGAAGGGTTTCAGCCTAAGTAGGAGTAAGACGAAATATTTGCATTATAATTTTGATAAGAGGTTAGTCAGTAATAATTTAGAAGTGAGATTAGTGGATCAGATCATACCTCAAGTGAAAAAATTTAAATATTGGAAGCAATTGTTCAACATGATAGGGAACTTGATGGGAATTTTGCACATAAGATACAAGTTGGATGATTTAAATAGAAGAGGCCTAAAGGAGTTATTTGTGATTGAAAAGTACTAAATAAATTTAAAAGGAAGTTTTATTGAACTGCTATAAAACTAGTCATGTTATATAGCAGTGAATATTGGGCTTTAAAGGGACAACAAAAGCATAAAGTTAGAGTAGCAAATATGAGAATGTTGAGATGGATGTGTGGGCATACATGAAAAGATAAAGTCTAAATTGGACATATATGAAAAAAATTGGGCTTGGCATCTATTGATAGAAAAATGGTAGAAAACCATTTGAGATGATTTAGAAATATACAAAGAAGGCCGTGGGAGGCACTAGTGAGGAGAGTGAAACTAATAATCTTAAGCCTTATTAAGATAGGGAGAGAAAAACTAAAGAAAACACTTATGGAAGTTATTAAATGAAAACTCTTAGTTAACAATATTTTTAAAAGCTTGGTTAATGACAGAGTATAATGATGTCATGCAATCCCTATAGTTGACCCCACCTATTGGGATTAGGCTTCTTATTGTTGCTGTATTCATGATTTGTAGGCATAAATAAATTAATAACTCCAAGGAATTGGGTCAACCTTCAGGCTAAAGCACCTGTTTCCAGATGAACAAACTTCTCCAACTCTAATGATAACATGGATTAAATCTAATAAGACTTCAAAGAAAAAGTAGAGGCCCTCTGTAATTCCAAATGTAGCTGTGCCATATGAAATTTGTTCTCTTTATTTTAATAAATTTAAAAATAAACCTTTCTTTTCTACCCAGCCCACAACAAAGAGCAAACTAGGGAGACTTTTCAGCACTAGAAAATCATATTGCCAGATGCTTTTGAAAAGCATTGATAAAGAAATCAGTCCAGAAAAAACCAGCCATGGTACACGTCATTTTCCTGCATTTAATGATCTGGACACAGTTAAAATAAAATGTAATCTGATTTCATTTTTGTTGCAGCAGATGAAACGAAAATATTTCATCCTAGAAGTTAAATTGCTTATCAAATACTACTGAAAGATAAAATATTATGCGAAAATATATTTTCAAAAACAGGGAATCACATCTATGTTATCTATTAAAATGGTTGTCAAAAAAATACAGATTTCATTTTATAATATGAGAATTTAACAATCTCATTATTGGCTGAATCACATCTATGTTATCAATATTTACTGATATGGTATGTGATAAACATGATTGCTCCTTCTAACATTACTATCTTACAGGCCACAACAAAATTTCAGAAATAATGGGATGAAAATTTTTTCAACAAGAATTATAAATGAAAAAAATTAAAAAGAATTATAAATCTTAGGTAATGCAGCAAGGCTGACATATAAATTAATACGGCAAGTGAAACTGCACTCGTACTTACATCTTTTGGATCAAGAAGATTGATTCTGGATTGATCAGAAGGTGCAGACTTTGACATCTATAAAACGAAACCACAACAAAAGCCAGAATTCAGAACAAATATATAGGCTTAATGTTAATAGCAAATCTAGCATTTTACTATTTTTAATTAACTGGGAAGAAATCTTCACCTGCGAATCAATTAGCCCCTTCAATTCATAATTTCATAAAAATGCATCATTGTAAAGATTTTATTTTCCCTTTCAACAAGGCAAGAGGGCACAGGAGGGGATAAATAACTGTGAATGTGACTTTGTATGAGGACATAAAATGAACAATAACATTAAAAAATGTGCATAAATCATATTTATATAATTTTTCTAAGTACTGCAAATTTGATCTTGAAGCTTGGGAAGCTCAATCCTAGAAAGAAAAAGAAAAGGAAAAGTAGAAACCTTGGAAAGACCATCAGTTAGTGACATAACTCGGGCTCCAGCTGGAGGTATGAGGGGCTCTGGAACCTGCATTGTAGAAGGCACTGACAGAAAGAATATATTCCAAATATGACTCATTAGCCGGTCCGCCTATGTTTATAACCGGTCCCAAGCCCGGGTAAAGGAGGAGGGTTGTGTTAGGCCATCAACAGCCAATGTAAAAATTTGTTGAATCTATCATGAACATGGACAATAGACGTTATAATGTTAATGCTAGGTCGTTGCCCGTAAGTAACGCGCTGCATGGCTCGAGTACAGTGATAAGTGAGTTAGAGCCGCTGCATCGGCGCCCGGATGTAGTGTTAAATGAGCAAGGGCTACCGCGTCATTCTGGACGCACGCGGCTAAAGAAGTTAGTCCATAAGAGCAAAATTAGATTTGGTACTTGGAATGTTGGGACATTAAATTGTAAATCTGTAGAGGTTGTAGGGGTTATGATTCAAAGGAAAATCAATATCCTTTGCTTGCAAGAAACAAAATGGCGTGGAGAAGGAGCTAAGGATATTCAAGGTTTCAAACTTTGGTATACAGGAAAAGTAAGTGCACGCAATGGAGTAGGCATCATTATAGATAAGGAGTGGAAGAAGAACGTTGTAGAAGTTAGCAGAATTGGAGACAGAATTATTTCTTTAAAAATGATAATTGGACGTGAGACTGTTAATATTGTTAGCGCTTATGCGCCGCAAGTCGGGACAGAAGCCAGTCTTAAGGAATTATTTTGGGAGGATCTGGAGGGGTTGATTCGACACATACCACAGAGTGAAAAGATTTTTATTGGAGGAGACTTTAATGGGCATGTCGGGAGGGAAGCTGGTCAGTATGCGAGGGTGCATGGTGGTTTTGGTTTTGGAGAGCTAAACAATGAAGGGCAAACTCTTCTTGATTTCTCATTGGCGTATGATTTTAAGATTGCCAACACTTGTTTCAAGAAGAGAGATGAGCATCTCATCACTTACAAAAGTGGAGCCTCAAGGTCGCAGATTGATTTTCTTTTGGTTAGGAACACAGATAGAAAACTTTGTAAAAATTGTAAGGTGATCCCTGGAGATGCTGTAACGACACAACATAGGGTCCTAGTCCTTGATGTGTGTATTATGAGTAAAATCCAAAAACATCGACAAGTAGTAACACCAAAGATTAGATGGTGGCAATTAAAAGGTGAGAAGCAAGATATTTTCAAGCGAAATCTTTTGGATAAAGGAATTTGGGATTCTCAGGGAAGTGCTAACATCATATGGGAGGATATGGCTAAAAAGATACGGGAGGTTGCAAAAGTAGTTTTGGGAGAATCGAAAGGTTCTGGTCCGAGAGATAAGGAGTCTTGGTGGTGGAATAATAGTGTACAGGACAAAATCAAGTATAAGAAGAACTGTTTTAAAGCCATACATTTGTGTAACAATGAGGAAAATTGAGAGAGGTACCGTATGGCTAAGAAGGAAACTAAGAGAGCTGTGGGTGAAGCTCGTTCCAAAGCTTTTGAAGAATTTTATAAGAACCTTGAGACGAAGGAAGGAGAGCAAAATATTTATAAGATTGCCAAGAGTAGGGAAAGAAAATCAAGAGATCTAGAACAGGTAAGGTGTATTAAGGATGAAGAGGGAAGAATTTTAGTTACAGATGATGAAATTAAAAATAGATGGGAGACTTATTTTTCTAAACTTTTCAATGATGGAGAGGATTCATCTAGTAACTTGGAGGATTTAGTAACTGGTGAAGGAGAACAAAATTTGTCATTCTATCGAAAAATACGTGATAAGGAGGTAAAGGAAGCTCTTAAGAAAATGGCAAATGGTAGAGCTAACGGACCTGATTGTATATCTATCGAAGTGTGGAAATGTTTAGGTGAAGAAGGGGTGAGATGGTTAACTAAGTTATTTAATGTGATTTTACGGTCCAAGAAAATGCCTGATGAGTGGAGGAGAAGTACATTAATTCCTATTTATAAAAATAAAGGAGATATTCAGAATTGTACTAACTATAGAGGGATTAAACTCATGAGCCACACAATGAAATTGTGGGAGAAAGTAATTGAGCACAGGTTGAGATTGGAGACAAGTATTTCTGAGAATCAATTTGGTTTTATGCCAGGTAGATCAACTACAGAGGCAATTTATCTACTAAGGGGATTAATGGAAAAGTATCGTTGTAAAGATAAAGATCTACACATGGTTTTTATTGATTTGGAAAAAGCTTATGACCGTATACCAAGAGAAGTGCTTTGGAAAGCGTTGGAAAAAAAGGGAGTACGGATTGCTTATATTAAAGCCATACAAGATATGTATGAGGGGGTAAAAACTAGTATAAGAACGCCTAGTGGTCAAACAAAGGATTTTCCTATAAAGATTGGACTACATCAGGGATCATCTCTGAGTCCTTATTTGTTCAACTTGATTTTAAATGTTTTGACGGAACATATTCAAGAGGAAATCCCGAAATGTATGCTCTTCGCGGATGATATAGTTCTTATAGCAGAGACAAGAGAAGAGGTTAATTGCAAACTTGAGTTATGGAGGAGGACATTGGAGTCGAAAGGTTTTCGTCTGAGTAGAAGTAAGACGGAATATTTATATTGTAAATTTGGTAAAGGACTATTCGAAAATAATTTGGAAGTGAAATTGGGAGATCAAATCATACCTCAAGTGGAAAAGTTTAGATATTTGGGAGCCATTATTCAAAATGATGGCGAAATCAGTGGAGATATTTCACATAGAATTCAAGCTGGGTGGTTTAATTAGAGAAAAGCTAAAGGAGTTATTTGTGACCGTAAGGTGCCTAATAAACTTAAAGGAAAGTTTTATCGTACTGCTATCAGACCAGCAATGTTATATAGTAGTGAATGCTGGGCTCTAACGGGACAGCAAGAGCATAAAGTTGGAGTAGCTGAGATGAGAATGTTACGATGGATGTGCGGACATACACGTAAAGATAAAATTCAAAATGAGCACATACGTGAAAAAGTGAGGGTGGCACCTATTGAGGAAAAAATGGTAGAAAATCGGTTGAGATGGTTTGGGCATGTACAAAGAAGACCAAGGGAGGCACCAGTGAGAAGAGTGGAACATATAACTTTGAGTCCGATTAAGAGAGGTAGAGGAAGGCCTAAGAGAACACTCTTGGAAGTTGTTGAACGTGATCTCTTAATTAATAATATTTCTAAAAGCTTAATAAATGATAGAGCACAATGGCGTCTTGCAATCCATGTAGCCGACCCCACCTAGTGGGATAAAGGCTTGTTGTTGTTGTTGTTGTATGACTCATTAGCACTTGTTAATGAGTGGATATAGCTTACCTTAAATATGGAACCACCTCGGCTGTCACAAAAATAGAGGGGTCATTCTGACAAGTCATAAGGTGCCATTTATGTCCACTTTAAAAGATAATACCTCTTACCCGCCTAACTTCTTCCACTTCCTTCCTCCATATAAATAATTAACACGTTCAGCCAATTCACGGGTTAATTCCAAATGCTGCTTTTGATCTTCACCAACTGGGACAAAGTCTGACTGCAAAATCAAGCTGCAATTCATAAGGCTTGTACGTATTCAAGATAATATCAATCCACCATTTAGGGAAAAAAAACCCAAATAAGACCTAGAAAAACAAGAAGTTCGAAAAATTACATAGAAAAGCTAAAGTCACAAATAAGTATTACAGGTACATTAAATTGGTATTTAAACTTTCACTTGTAGCTTGATGTGTAATCCATAAAAGAAATATTAAAGATTAGTTAATTAGTAGTTAGATAGTTGGGTGGTTAGGTTTTGTCAGAATAAGAGCATAAGGGAGCTTATATAAAGGGTCCTATATGACTGAGATTATGCTTAATGTGAAAAAACCCAGAAATATATTCAGTTTTCTCTCTACCTCTGTTTCCTTTTTCTGTCTTCTCTCTCATCTCTCATATTTCTTTCTTATTTTCCTTCGTTTTCTATCCTGCTTCTCTCTCTTCGTCTCCTTCTACCATATCAGTGGTATCAAAGCCTATCTTTCCTACCTTATATGTCCATAACCCACTCCCAAACAACATTAAAGAAGATGGCATTCTCATATAACATATCACACGTACCAAGCAAAGGGAGAGATGCGAAAACAGTAGCTGGAGGTAATGGGTCTCATTTTATTAAGGGTAAGACTGATCTTTTACTTGAATACCATTCTTTTTCATTGATAAACGGATCTACTTCCTCTGTTTTCTCGATGGCAAGTTCCTTTTCAAACCCTAATTCAAAAATCTTAAAGAAATTAAACTAAGAGGAGGTTGATGGTCTTCAGTCAAAGAATATTTGTTTCTCTTGTCACAAAACATTCTTTAAGGGTCATAGATGTTCCCCAACTCAGAAAGTCCAGACACAACTCATTCTCGAGCCTGAATCTGAAGAAGCCATCGCAGAAGATACTGAGCAGGTGTTACGTGGTCAAAGAAGTCCTAGTGACGGCAAAGGGGCTTCTGGATAAAGGATGGTTGAATTCTGCTTTTTTTTTTTTCCTTTGTGTCAACCCTTGAGGTCAAGGGTTTTTTTTTTTCCACCAAAGGGTGGAGTATTGATGCACAATTCATAAAAGAAATATTAAAGATTAGTTAGTAGTTAGATAGTTGGGTCGTTAGGTTTTGTTAGAATAAGAGCGTAAGATAGGGCCTATATAAAAGGTCCTATATGACTCAGGTTATGCTTAATGTGAAAAAACCCAGAAATATATTCAGTTCTCTCTCTACTTTTGTTTTTCTTCTCTACTTTTGTTTTCTTTTTCCCTCCTCTCTCTCATCTCTCGTCTTTCTTTCTTATTTTTCTCTGTTTTCTATACTTCTTCTCTCTCTTCATCTCCTTCTACTGCATCATAGCTCCATAAAAAAGAAAAAAAATTGACAACCATCCAGACAGACATATTAGAGACAGAGGCACAGAAAGGCAGAGCACTGGAAACCACCTGATATAGAAGAATATCAGCAGCCATTAGAACAGGATATGTCAAAAGAGCGACCCCAACATTTTCATCTCCCTACAAGTGTGATTCAAAAAGAAATATAGGTTCATGATAAGTAAAAAGACTCAGAACTGAATATAAAGAACTAAAGAATAAAGAAAGGTCGACTAAAGAAATAGCAAAGGCTAAGTACAAGATACAAATTGTAAACGCCAAGTACTAATGGAAAAACTGAATCCCCCAATTCTCTCTGTTTTTTTTTTTTTTGGCAGAAAGTGGTCATCATATTCTCCAAATCGCATGGCTTTGGCATCCAAGCAGAAACAGCTTCCTTCAACACAGAGCATAAGTAAAAGAAAACTATTTTTTCTTTCTTTTCTTTTCCTTTTTTTTTTTCACGCGAAGGCTTTGAAATTAAGCACTGAAAAGCTGTCGATACCCAAAAAACTGTGGGACAAACTCATGTTCTTGATTATAAAGCAAAATTTTCTTTCCATTTTTCCTTTTCCCATTTTATGAATAGGCTTTGATTTTCACCTTACCAAAAAGATATGAAACAAGAAAGTCAAAGTTTTTTCTTTTTCATTCCCCCCCCCCCAAAAAAGGGTGAACTCTGTCCAATGTGCAAATCACCTATAACTTCAGAAGAAAATAAATGTTCTTGTAGACTGTAGATTACGACTCTAACTTTGACTGCACCTCCATAAATAAGGGAAATCGTTATCGAAGGAAGTCAAAAATTATAAAATTAAGGAAAACAATTATATGCAGTTCTTTATATCTTTGCCATTAGGTTCCTTAACGAGTACGCAACAAGTATATGATTTTTCAAAACGTGTATTTCCCCAATTAAAACACGTGCTTGCCCTGTTATAATTAGAGAATCATGCATGTCGTAATTTGGTGAATAACATGATAAAAAAATATGAGAAACTACATTTAAGTCCAATCCTAAAGTTATAATTAGAAGGAAATTGAAAATGAAAAGAGGGAATTCATACAGCTAGGCACACACCTCCTTGCGGGATTTCTCTTTAAACTGAATCATTCTGTACAGCCAACCAATTGGTGTGGCAGAACTTAGCAGCCACATCAATTCTACATGTGCACGAACATGGGATTGCACAAATACAGATGCCTGCATAATTGTAATGATATTTCTAGCAAAAATGCACATTTCTAAAAAAAGTTGCAAAGAACAGAGAAGATTACTAAATACCTTTGATGTATCAACACCACATGCCAGATAAATGGCTGCTGTCTCCCTTGTTGTCCTAGATAATTGTTGTGTGTCATATGGTAATGTGATCTGCATCATTACAAGAAAACAGAATACCATCTATAATTAGTAATACATTACATCTGAAAAGTAACAGATTAAGGTCCATGTTCCACCCCACTGACCAATATAATTAGCCTCAATTATGAATTTCATTGGGCTATTCAGCCTCAAGGGGGTGTTTGATACCAATATCACATGAAACTGATCATAAGGGTAATGTGCATTATTCCCACAAACAGCAAAAGATACAATGTCAAGTCCACTGTTGGGGTAACACAAAACCAACTAAAGCTCAAAAGCAGCACAGACAGATAAAGTAAAAATCATCAATTACACAATCCTTTTTTCAACGAATAGTGTTGCGCCTATTTAGCTATACTCAAAATGTGAATGCGAGCAGGAATGAGTCCATTTTCCAAAATAACAAAAGTAAGAGATAGTTCAACGTCCATCTAAAGATTGAAATCACTTTTGATCAATCTCAAATGATCTTATCAAAATATTTGCAAAGCTCATAATGACAATAGTTGGGAGCATATTTGCTATCTACTATAAATGATATTCAGGAAGAGATTTTCCACTTTATCTGAACTTACATGAACTCAGAGCTGTAATTCTAACAACAAAATGAGAAAAAAAAAATTACAGCATCACCTAAAACTTTAAAAGCTTATGTAGTAGAAGAAATATGGAAATACCGCATGCAGGTCCACGATGAAGTAAAGTGTATCATATGTATTCTGCATAATTAAAGAAATATCATAAATTAGCAAGTCACATAAAATCCTTGAATCAAATCAATCAATTTCTGTTTCATGCTAAAGTCAATTAACACTTGTATGCAACCAATGAACTCTTGTTTTCTAAGTGACAGCCATCCCATTATAGCTTGGGGGTGAGGAACGACCAACAGCTAGGAATAAATGAGTCCTTGATTAGCAATCTCCACAATCTTTACCCATAGGAACTCAAATTGAGAATCCAAGCAAACAACAGCTGTGGATTCACTATTGCAATTCTCTTATCAATGATCTAAATTTTTCACTAGATATACCACTGATTTACAACACAAAATATACAAATGGACATGTCTGTCAATGGCCAGAAAAATCCTAATCAGCCATATGGGGCACCGACCAGACATTCATTTGGCTCTTAGCAAGTTCAGTTGGGCGTGCTATTGTTCTACACATGTGTAGATAGCAATATGTAAGTATTTTGTAAGTCAATTCCTTCAGCCTTAGCTTTCAATGCTAGAGGAACTAAAACATGCCAGGCTAGTAATGGATTAGAAGTGGCTTTTTGATACCTAAGCTGCTCAGCACATATATGAGGGATGAAAGAGTAAAAGATCAGATTTATGAAAGCTAAAAGTCAATTCCATCGATTTTATTTGGTCTTGCAACTTATACCAACGCCCGTTTAAAAGAATAATTATATACAAGTTCATGTTTGAGGTTATTCACTTTGCAACAATATCAAGAAAGAAGATCAACTCATCAACAACCTGAAGTCCAATCCAATTCTTTATGGCACCGAGATAGTTCCCAAGGTGAATAGACCCTGTAGGTTGAACTCCTGAAACTACCCGTTTCCTGTCAAAGAGAAGTTAATAAACATATGTTGAAAAGGTGCATTCCGATTCCAATATAAAGTACAGCAAAAGACAACAAAAATCTGCACACGAGCGCCGAGATAATTACAGAATACAAACTCTTGACGAAGTAATGTTATACTGTCAATCTAAGTAGCTGGCATCTAGGAACAGTGTACATGTATTCCCAACACTTGCTCCAGTAGTCCAGTATACGAATCATAATGTATCAATAGCGAGACCCCACCATATTGATCAATGGTATAAGGGATCAAGTATGACCAAAAATACAAAAAGACAAGTTTTTTGGACTCAATAAGCACTGAATGTTAGAAGAATTAAGTCGTGATTACTTTACAGAGGTCGGAGAAGTCTCTGAAGCAGATACAATGCTAGAATAACAGCGGACGCACGCTCCACTGAGTATAAGTGGTCGGTGAGAACGAAGAAGGTTCCTGGCAGTGGCCTTCGAGAACCTCGGTCCAATACACGACCTGCTGATTGCAATATATATGAGAAAATAAAAGCCACATTTCTAAGCTTATGAAGAAAGAAGAATACAATGAGGATAGAAGAGTGTCGGTGCGTACAGCGAAGGAGCAAAGTGCGGAGACGAAGATGAGAGAATCAGGATTTGAGAAAGAAACGCGCGACCCATCTTACTTCAACGGCCGTCTTCTGCTGAGTTTTATCGAAATGCACCTCACGACTGCGAGAGACCTTTGGTTTTGATCAAACTATACGACAGTACCCGTAATCACGTCCAAGGATGCGATGTTCTTCCGAAGGCTGGTATACTACAAGTCGTTTGGAGATATTGCTTTCCCAATGCCAATGGGTTCTTAGCCATTTAAAATTTTGAAGTATTTTAAACTTTCATCCTTTAAATTTGGATTTATACTATTTTAAAAATCAAATCCCGTTTAAGACATGATTAAAAAATGCAAAGGAATAACCTTAAAATATTAAATGAAAAAGAGCGGCTCTAATATAAATTGGTAGTTAAATATTGCATTAAAATTTTAAAATAATTAAGAAAATAATCATAAATTAAAGATTAAAATAATAGTTTAGCCTTTTGTTTCTGATAATAATGGCGTGTCTCGTGATGATGCACCGATTTAAAAGCCTCAAACATCTACATATTATTTAAGGTAAAAAAAATCTACATATTAAAAGATTGTCTAAATACAAATCTTGGTTTAAGTCCCAACAAAAAAAAAAAAAAAACTTGTCTTAAGAGTTGTCCTTGCAAAAGCAATGATATATAGGAGTATATAGTGTATCTAAAATTCCATCTAGAATAGATAGGATATCGTACACTGTAAAGGAAGAAACCGTACGAATATACTCGTAGTAAAGCTATCCCATTACAATAGCATGAAATTACTAATTGGGTAACAACTTCTTCTTATTGGCCATTGACTCGTACATTGGGAACCAAACATTCAAATTTCGCTGCAGAATATAGAAATATTTCTTCCAAATACAATAACAAAAAATAAAAGAGAATTGACCACTTTCCTAATGTATAAAGAGTTCCAATAACAATGTCTAGTAAGTCAGCAATTTGCTTCCTTTAAAAGCTCACAGATGCCGCGTGATACAGATCAAAACTTTCAAAGGTAGCTTCGGTAGGCTGGGCTGTACATACAGCCCTCTGCATATTTGACAAGATCCTTAGGTCGAGGGAGATGAGAAGCCAAACCTATCCACCAAAAAAAAAAAAAAAAAGAAGGGCAAAAGAAAAGAAAGAAAAATAAGTAAAAATGAGGAAGGGGCAAAAACTATAAACGGGCCAGCGTTCTCAGGATTGAACGCACGAAGAACAGACTTACCAAGTTCATATGCCTTGGCTGCAACATTAGCAGCAATGTGGGCTGATATCTTCCTTATGTTAGTGAAAGGAGGGTAAATCAGCCCCTTATCATAGTTTTCCTGAGCCACTTGTGCAGCCAGAGCTTCCGCTGCACCAGAAGATGTAATGTTTAATGATTGATCAATAAAAATAATCCATCATTCTAAACAGCTTCATTCAGATTATATGAAAGCAAATTGCCATATTTCTCATCTTTGTACTTACAGGCTGCCAAGAGCATCTCATCATGCACCCGGATTGCGCCGGAGATGATCAAACCCAAGCCAAAACCAGGAAATATGTATGCATTGTTGGCCTGAATGTCATTGTAAGAAGATGTGAGCCACTTTGGTTAAGGTATCAGGTATGCATGTTGCATGATAAAATACTTTGAAGGTTGCATGATAAAACCTGTCCAGGCACAAAAACTTTTCCTCCATATTCAACTAGGTCGAATGGGCTTCCACTAGCAAAGATTGCTCGACCCTGCAAATTAAAGGTGGATTTTCCGTTTTATCTGATACAATAGCCTTAATCTGCAAAGTAATGTTTAGTGGACTATTGTGCAAAGGAAAAATGGAGGGGCGGTAAAAAGTTACCTTGCTCCATGTATAAGCTTCTTCAGCTGTGCACTCAGATTGTGAAGTTGGGTTGGACAGAGCAAGAATGAGTGGTTTCTAAATGCAAATAAATATTTTTAATCATTAATGCCTCATAATCTTCTCAATTCCCGTAAGTTAACGAAGTTATTACTAGAGGAAAGTGTGAAGAACCTCATTGAAGGATGACATGGCTTCAACCACCTCCTTTGTAAATGTCTTTCCTACTCCAGATGATCCGATCAAAACCGTTGGCTTGATTGCCTGTAGGAGTCAATTGTAAGCATTTTGTATGAAATATGATGGGAAAGAAAAATCTTATATGGTACAGAAACTAAATCCGAGCCACTTTTCTGACCTTGACAGCATCTAGAAGTCCCTTTACAGGTTCATGTTCATGAGCCCAAGGCTTTTTGAAGTGCTGAAGCGATTCCATACGAGACTTAACAATCAGTCCCTGAGAAAGGAGGGGCTCGTTGTGAATGACAGTTATTAGGAGAAGGAAATTAAGTAATAAAGCATGTCAATACCCCTTGATTACCTTGGAATCCACTAGCCAAATTTTCTTACGAGTCTCCTCCAATGGAGATTTTGTCTGGCCAAGAATATCGATGGTCAGAAAGAGTTAACATAAACACTGCTAATCACAGTAAACTTTTCAAGTTAATAATAATACCTTCTTTGAAACCTCGAGAGCTATCAGCTCCGCTATCCCAGTTCCAGCCTTCAACAGCCAAAAGATCGCAAGTGGGAAATAAAACCATCAATTTAGAAATGTGTGAGTGTGTACATGTATGGATGACATTTTTTTCCTTTCTTTTTTCCTCTATTACAGAAGGTGTTGAAATGGTAACATGTAAATAAGGAAGAGGTTTATTAGGCTAACCTCTCCAGCACCTAGGAATAAGAAGGTGTGATCAGCTAGGGTTCCCCCCACTAATTTCAGGGAAGCAAGCAGTCCTGCTAATACCACAGATGCTGTACCCTGAATTAAACCGAAAATCAAAGTCAATCACTCATAAATTTAAAAAGGGGCTGTGCATGAAATCACTAGTTGTCTTTTATGTACCTGTATATCATCATTAAAGACAAGATGAGATGAGTTGTATTTTGCCAGCAGGTTAAAAGCATTATGATTCGCAAAATCTTCGAACTGAAAAAGAACGATAAATGTTGACAAAACAATATAATCAAGCAAAGATTCGTTCAAAAAAAATATAATCAAGCAAAGAAAAGAAACGCCAAATTAACATGTTGGAGCAGATCTGTAACCTGTATCAAGACTTTCTCCCCGTAGTTCTGTTTAACAGCGTGCATGAACTCATCTAGGAGTTCTTCATATTCCTAAACCACAATTAACATATGTCATGTTAATATTTATTCGAATACTTCTTACTCCACATAGGGATAAAAACAATTGAACAGTGCATTGAGAGAGAGAGAGAGAGAGAAGTAGCCAGACCTTCCCCGTTGCCCTCTTTTGCCTAAGCCCAATGTAGAAGTCATCCTTCAGCAACTTCTCATTGTTTGTACCAACATCAATAGTTATTGGTAAGCACTGTAAATTATAGATCCATATTGAGAGTTAGAAGAAAGTTTCAAACAAGGGAAACAGGAAACAATCTCATATGCTAGTAGTCCATACTGCTGAAGGGCGAACACCTCCTAATGCTGTATAGAGAGAGAGTTTCCCAACAGGAATGCCCATGCCCTATCAGAAAAGTTAAAACAATTATGTCAGCTGAGAAAAGATTCTGAAAATTAGACAGAAATACGAACAAGATCAATAGATACCTGGCAACCAAGATCTCCAAGTCCCAAAATACGCTCACCATCAGTCACAACAATAACTTGAATGTTCTTTTCTCCCCAATTTTTCAATACTTCAGCAATCTTGCCTCTGAAGAACTCGATCACTCAGTATTTTCTGAAATTATAAGCAGGGAGGAAACAAAGAAAGAAAGAGGAGTAGCGTGAAAAAGCATACTTCTCCTTTAAACTGATATAGAGACCCTGAGGACGCCTAAAAATGCTTCCATATTTCTGGCAGGCTTCTCCAACCGTAGGAGTGTAAACAATAGGGAGCAGTTCCTCAACATTGTCGATCAAAAGCTTGTAAAACAGCCTTTCATTTCTCTCCTGTTAGAATAGAAACAGTGAGAGAAGGTGATAAATTTGATCCTACCATGCAACAACCAAATAAAACTTGTTAGGTGGAAAAATGGCCATAAGAGCAAGAAGCCAGCTAGCACCTGAAGATCCATCAAGGCCATGTATCTATGCAGAGGAACATCATACTGGCTAAGATTATGCATCAACCTCTTCTCCTGTTTAACAATATTAATAACAAGGGTAATTAGCCAGAAGGAAAATGTAAATAATAGCGCAAGAGCCGAGACCAAGAGAAAAATTCATGTAAACTTGGCAACGTAAGTAACCTGAAGCTCTTGAGAGAGGATAGCTGGAGGCAAAAGGCCACGCAGGTAATGAGCATCTCTTTCTTTCTCAGTGAAGGCAAGTCCTTTGTTGTAGCGTGGCTCACGCAGCAAGGCGCATCCACTGTAACACGAAACATACTTTATTAGCACTTATTTTATATTTTTTGATTCCTTCGGTCTCTCTTTTGTTTTTTATCTACCTAGCCTAGATCCCAAAAGTGAAAACAACGGAATTCATCGAAACTTGGATTGGAAGAAAAACGAGTTGATTTTTTTACATTCTCAAACGAAGTAGACGAGATCAAAATCAAGTCTAGCCAAAACTTAAATTCCCGACAAATAATAAGATCATGTAAGAGGTGAAAGCACAGACCCAAAAACGGAGATCAAAGACTAAAATATTAGTAGAATCGACAGAAACGGATGCAGCATTCTTGTCTCTTTTTGAACATGCCATCATCCTTCTTCATAGCTTAGAAAATAAAATATAAAAACGAAACTCATGGCCTGCTGCCGCCTCACCTGGCCACAGAAGAAGTCCAGGGAGTGATAGGCTGATCCTCCGTGGCACTATCCTCGCCGTACAAGTCCCGAACACCAACACCGTGTCCGTGACCTTCCAGGCCATCCACTGAAACGCCCCCGTTTCTCGTCTCCTTCAAAGTGCTCGACATTAATGCCGCGAATTTTCTCCCGTCTCTCCCGCACAAAACCTGTTTCTGCAATAACAAGTACTTCACAGTGAGACTTGCCAAACTGAACTGTAATGCAAAAACCACTCGCACACAAATACCAAAATGTGGAAAATTCTCAGACGGAATAGTGGTATACAGCTTCAAAAACAAAGGATTG